GAAGGGAGGGAGGGAGATAAAGCATTCATTCATTTTCTGGCTGCTCTGCTCTGTCACATCCTTGGATCCAGATGGGCTGAAATCTCTGAAACCATGAATCAAAATAAATCTTCCTCAAAAAAGAGGGGGGGTGGGAGTTAAACAATTCTTGGGGGGGCTCAGTGGTTAAAAGAACTCGCTCCTCTTACAGAGGAGCTAGCATCATAACTCCAGGTCCAGGGTGTTTGTCGCCCTCTTCTGGCCTCTGGGGGCATTGCATGCATGAGTGCACTTACATACATACAGACAAAACACTCATATACATAAAGATTTCAAAAGTAAACAATTCTTAAAATACTGTAAGACTACAATACTCTCTGTTCAACAGTGGGTAGAATAACCATATGGGAGGCTGGAGAGATGGCTCAGCGGTTAAGAACACTGCACAACACGGGTGCACTCACATACATGCAGGCAATATACTCATACACATAAAATAAAAATAATAAAATATTAAAAAAAATAATCATATGATCATGTGTCGGTGGTGCACACCTGTAGTCCCAGCACTTGGGAGGTAGAGACAGGCAGATCTCTGTGAGTTCAAGGCCAGCCTGGTCTACATAGTGAATTCCAAGACAGCTGGGGCCACAGGGAGACCCTGCTTCAATAAGACCAAAAAAAAAAAAAAAAAAAAAAATCATATGGAAGGTAAATAGTAAAGAGGGGAACCGAACATCACAAAAAATCAACTAGACTTCACAAACATACATAGAACATTCCATACAACAGCAGAATACATATAGTTTACAAGTCCACATGGGACATTCACCAGGATGGATGATATGTTAGGCCACAAAACAAGTCTTAATAGATTTTCCTAGTCTATGCAGAATATCTTCTCTCAACTTTTTTAAAAAAATATTTTTATTATTTTTATTTTATGTGTATGAGTGTATTGCCTGCATGTAGTTAAGTGCACCTGTGTCGTGCAATGCCTGAGGACAGAAGAGGCTGTCGGATCCCCTGGAACTGGAGTTACAGACAGTTGTTAGCTGCCATGTGGGTGCTGGGATTCGAACCCAGGTCTTCTGCAAGAACAGCCAGTGTTCTTAACTGCTGAGCCATCTCTCCAGCCCATCTTCTCTCAATTTAATAGATGAAGTTAGAAATTAATGCAAAAAAAAAAAAAAACCTGGCAAATTCACGAATATGTGAAATTAAACAACCAATAGGTGAGAGAAGAAATCCAAAGAGAAATCATAAAATAAGTAGAAATAAACATAGCACTTATACTAAAATTTATAAGCTAGAGTTATAATAATTATTAGAGGAAAATTAATTATAAATATATTTAAAAAGAGACCTCAGAACTGGGTGTGGTAGAGTAGATGGCATTCCTGTAATCCCAGTACTTCATAGGCAGAGGCGGAAGGATCAATAATTCAAAGCTATGTTTATCAAAATAGTGAACTCAAAGCCAGTCTGGGCTACAGGAGAACCTGTTTGAAAAAACTAAAATACTGACTGGGTGTGGTGGTAAACACCTTTAATCCCAGCACTCAGAAGGCAGGAGATTGAGACCAGCCTGGTCAACATAGTGAGTTCCAGGCCAGCTAGGGCTATAGGGAGACCCTGTCTCAACACGCTCTGGCATGCGCACACGTACATACGCATACACACACACACACACACACACACACACACACAAAACAACAAAGCATTCAGATCAATAACCTAAATCTTACACCCAAAAAGGACCTGGGAAGAGAGACATATGTGAAATATAAAGCTAACATAAAAACCAAAAAAATAAAGATTAAACCAGAGTTAAAAATAGAGGTTGAAAAGAGAAAAATCAACAAAAACTTGATTCTGAGAAAGATAACAAAATTGATAAATGTTTTGCTAGACTAATGAAGAAAAGAGAATTTGCAAAAACTGTAGTCAGAGATGAAATGGGATATCACTATCAAAATTACAGAGATTTTAAAACATGCAACAACTAAGTGCTAAAAATAAGATAGTCTAGGGGAAAAAAATGGACAAATTCCTTGTGTTGGGTAAATGCATTCTCTGAGGAAAAGAGAGGGTAGGTCTAGAGACCCAGAGAGAAGCGGCACACACTGAGAAAAAGTAGTAGTTGGCACCATTTTTGGGAGGGGTGAACAGCCCAGCCGGCAAGCAGGGTGAACGAGCCCACCACAGTGGACCCTGTAGGGGGTCAGTTGCATGGACAGCTACGGAACTAACCTTGGGCAGGGCATAGCCCCCAAGAGGGGTCATGGTGGCTGGGATCTCAAAGCGGATCTCAAAGCATAGCCAAAATGTAAAAGATGGACTATGGGAGCTTATCCTTTGTAAGTACCCTTTCCTTTCCAATGCTAAAACCCAAATAATAGGAGGTATTCCTTCAGTTTGTCAGCCCTAGGGCCTCAGAGGGCTCAGGGGGAGTCTCCCAAGAAGCGGGAGGGGAAAATTTAGTGAAACACCTTGAAACACAGAAATTACCTAAACTGGTTCAAGAAGAAACAGAAAACCTCAATAGCCCTATTAAAAAGTAAAGAGATCTGACTTAGTAATTAAAACTTCCCAACAAAGTCTCACATCGTATGGTCTTATCAGCAAATTCTATTAAATGTTAAGGAAGAATTAAGTTTTGCTGAAAGTTTTGCAAAAAAATTGAGGCAAGAATGGTTCCTAATACATTCTATGAGGATTTTATCAATACCAAAGTCAGACAAACGCATTAAATAAAATTATAGGTCAAAATCACAGGTGGAACTCTCTGAACTCCGAGCTACCAGTAGTGAGACCTTGCCTCAAAAAATAAATAAATAAATAAATAAATAAATAAATAAATAATATCAAAAGCATATTAAGAGGATTTTCACCATGACCATGTAGGATTTAATCTACTCTGTGAATGCAAAAGTGTTTTAACAAAATCAATCGATGGAATAGAAAAAAATCATTAATAGAACAAAGAGTGGGACACACGATCATCTCAACTAATGTAGAAGTTGCATTTGAAAGACTCCAACAACCTTTCATGATAACACACCTGGGATAGTTAAGAATTGACAGAAACTCTTTCAGCATGATAAAGGTGTTTATGGAAAAACTCATCACTCAGGCCAGGCATGGTGGTGCCCGCCTTTAATCCCAGCACTTGGGAGGCAGAGGACAGCCTGGTCTACATAGTGAGTTCCAGGACAGCTGGGGCTACAGGGAGACCCTGTCTCAAAAAGACAAAAACAAAACAAACAAACAAAAATTCCCCTTAACAGCTGGGGTAAGACAAGGATGTCCATTTTACTTTACTGTTACTAAACCCATTCAATATTGTTCCAAATACCTAGAGCTATTAGACAAGAGTAAAAAGCAGCTGACCGGAAAAGAAGAGGTGAAACATCTGTATTCATAGACGACACCTTCCTGTACTTCAAAAATTCCAGAGAAGCCACAAGAGAGCTACTAGAGCTAAATAAATGAATGGCATGGGCACAAGACCAACACACAAAAATCAGTCTGGTTTTTGTGGACACTAGCAATACATAATATGAAAGAAAACCAGGGAAGGAATTCCAATTAAAATATGAGAATGAAACACGAAAAAATATTGCTGAAAGAAATGAATAGAGACCTAAAGAAACAGACACGGACAAGACATAAAATAATATTACTGTTAGTACTATTCAAAGCAACCTATACATCCCATAAAGCTACTTTTCCAAAAGCCTTTTTCTGAGAAATGGAAAAGTCAATCTCAAATTCATAGGTTAGTAGGGATGGGGATGTACCTCAGCAGTGTAGTACCTGCCTACCATTAAATTACCAGGTTCGATCCCCAGTACCACATTCAAATGGAAGTGAAAAAACCCTGAGTAGCCCAAACCGACTTGAATAAAGTTGTGAGACTCACACTCAGTAAACGCAAAACCTACTACAAAGTCACAGTAATTCAAACAGCATGACAATACATATGGACAGGTAGACAGCCCAGAAAGAAACTCATACATGGTTAACTGATTCTCAACAAGTCCACTCAACAGGGGAAAGGGCCATCTTTTCAACAAATATTGGAAAAAACTGAACATCCACTAAAGAATAAGTTGGGAATAGCCAGTTGTGGTTACACAACCTTGCACTTAAAGCAGAGGCAGGCAAAGGTCTGTGAATTCGAGGCCATCCTGGTCTACATAGCGAGTTCCAGGACAGCTCAGGCTACAGGGAGACCCTGTCTCAAAAAGACCAAAAAAAAAAGCTACTGATCTTTAAATTTGGTATATAATTTAAAATTTAAGTGATCATTTTTTGTATGTTTTGCATAATAAAAGCTCCCCCCCTCCAAAAGAGATAAAAAATGGGAGAACGTAGAAAAGAAGCGGATTGGTAAAGCAAAAGGGTTCTAGAATGATACTCAAATTCTCTCGTTGAGAGTAGTACGTGGATGATTCCTATCACCAACACAAGAACTGCAGCAGACAATAGTCGCACTAACACCAGACCATCAATTAGAAATTCGTCTGGCAGTTGGCTCTGGAGGTCAAGGGAGGACCATGGCTGGCGAGAGATCTGTGCAAGGCCAGTCTCCTACCGGGTTATGGAAGCTACGGGAATACCAGAGATAGACCTAAGGACGCGGCGGGAAGATCCCAAAGGCACACGAGCATCCACAGGGAAGCGAAGCCACCGATCTCCGCATGCCCGGTTCCCGCGCGGCTAGTCCACATCCCTGCGTGGGAGGGACTTACCACGGCTAGCCCGCGGAGGGGCCCAGCAGGCCCATGCAGACAGAGGCCGCCGAGAACGCAGCTGGCGTCCGCCTCCAAGCCAAGGCCAGGCCCGCGAAGCCGCCCAGAACAGGCGCGGCAGCAACACGCCAAAGCTCGGCCCGCGCCCCGCCCACTACGCGGAAAGTCCCTCTCGGGGGCCCGTCGTCCTCCGAGCATTCCGATTGGCGGAGATGACCATGGGACCTGGAAGTTGTCTTTGTCCGGCCAGGGCTGCCCTTCCGGTTCCGTTGGGTCCCCCTTTGGCTCAGGTTCCCTGCCCCTCCCCCTCCCTGTGAGCCCCGAGGGGCCGGAGCTCCAGGCAGTGGTGGATCCTGACGGCAGTCTTGCCCCGGGTCTGTAAGTTCGGAGGCGGCCGGAGAGCCGGGCTGGGGCGCGGGGGTCCCTGGAAATGGAGCCCCCGTGGGTCCCCGGGTCGGCCGAGACCTGCCGTGGGATGCGAGCCGAGTGGCTGGCCTAGGCCCCGGGGGACTTCAGCTTTCCACGCTGCGCCCCGGCCCACGCTGCGCCCCGGCCCACGCTGCGCCCCGCCCCCGTCCCTCCCTAGTCCGGAGGAGGGATTCTCAGGATGCTTCGGGGACCGCCTCCTAGGACCCCCAACCTAGGGCCGAGCGGCTGGACCGGACACCGAACTCTGGCATCTTGTAGAAAGTGCCAGACTTGAGGTCCGGGGAAAAGGACCCTCAGGAGCTAGCCAGGGGAAGGCCTTCAGTGCCAACCCGCGAGAATACTGTAAGTGCCAGGTTTTGGTGGGGTTTCCTCCTGTTAACCACCGGCTCCTCACCTTTTGTATTCCTGGCGCTATGCCAAGCACTGGAGAGTAGTCAAATACCGTTCCAGTTTCACGGTCAAGTTTGGGAGCGATGTATAAACAAATATATACAACTGTGGAGGTGGGAATATATAAGTTACTTGTATCAACTGCTTTATGGATACTTGCTGGTAAATCTCTAGAAACTGACCTGTAAATTCTACTTCTTTGTGGGAACAAAGCGTGGAAGTGGTTCTCAGGCAGAAGGAACAGTCGAAGTGTTACTGAGGAGTGACTGGCTATCTTTGTGAAGAAGAGGAAACGGGTGGGGAGCGTCTGTGCTTAGGATGGAATTTGAAACCAGTAAGAAAAGTGAGGTCCACATAAGTGAAAGGTTTAATTAATCCCAAAGGTGAAGTTTTTTTGGGCGGGAAACTGAAATAGATTTGTACTGCAGAAACTCATTTTGTCTTTAGCAATGCTATAGAAATAAACTTCCCCAAGAAACTAGCTGAATTTAAAGTCTCTTCCCTAAAGTCCAAGAACTTCTGTAGTAGATTCTAAAGTAATGAAATCTTTCTGTTGAAAGACAATAAAAATCTGAAGTAGAGTTATATGACTAACGCTTTACAACTAATTATGTTGAAAGAGCTAAAGGTATCAAATTTTAGGCATTTGGCATTTGAAGACTAGTGATACCACAATAAAAATTAAACTATAAGGCTGCTGTAGATTGTGAATTCAGTTTTTTTGTGTGTTGAATTCATGTCTAATACGATAGCCACATAGAGCCGTCCAGCTAAGAGTTGGAAATGCAAATCTGGAGATCAACCTAAACATTGTGGCTCAAAGTAAAAGTTTGTGTTACTAGAATGTGTGCAGATGCCAGAAGAACTGGCATCAAGCAGGCTATATTCAAACGGTGATCTGAGGAATAATGGACAGGGAGACCCTGTCTCAAAAAGACAAATAAAATAAAATGAAAGAGGTGATTTGAGGGATAATGGTTACATGTATAAGCAGAAAAACAAATTGCAGCGAACAGTAACAGAGATAGGAAATAAAGTGTAAGAACACAGCCAAGATGACTCAGATATCAAAAGAAGATAATTTTGAAGAGAGTACTGGATCAGTTCCTGTACAGCACCTGGGGAATGAGAAAGGGGAAAAACAACGTATGCCCTAATAGGTCATTAGTGACCTGTTAAAAAGAAATTGTTGTAGATGAGGTAATGGTTTATGAACTATTGGAGGCCTCAACTGGTTTGATGTTAAATGGGAATAAGAAAAAAAAATACATGAAGGATTTCACAAAGAAAATTAGCTCACACTGTTTTCTTAGCACATTTACGGAGCACATAGCAGACACTATTCTCAGCTCTTTATAAAAAAAAAAACCAATTTAGGGAGAAATGGCTCAGACAAGAGAGCACTGGCTGCTCTTACAGAAGACCTGGGTTCACTTCCCAGCACCCACATGGTGGCTGATGGCCATTTGTGACTCCCGTTCCAGGCGATCTCATGCCTCCTCTGGCCTCCACAGACATTGCATGCATGTGATGCACTTACATACTTGCAAGCAAAACACTCATACACATAAAAATATATATACAAAAATTTTTTTAAAAAAGAACTGCTCTAATTTTCCTTAGCAAACTGATGATGTAAGTTATTAGTGGTAGACAAGAAAACCGAAAGAGAATGGATAAGAAACTCGCCCATGGTCACATGGCTAATAAGTGTTTGAGTACACTCCACGTGTGTGCAGTGACTGGAGTCAGGGTGGGGAAATTGTAAGGAAAGATAAGCTTATTGATTTAAAAGAAAAATGGGAGACACTTGGAAGGACACCAAGGTTGAGAGGAAGGTAAGTTATAAATGTATGCTCATGTTATGTGTATATGTTTTCTTTCTTTCTGAGGAACTTCCTCCACCCAATGCTAATACAGCTCTGCTTCTTCTGCCCTTGGGTTTTCACTTACAGTTTGATTCCCATTACAATCAGCCTTCATCTACAGCTTCAGATCCATTTTTAACAGCTGTTAGATTTTTGTCCTGAAGTCATGCAGGCTCCTCTGACACATTTGAAAGACCAGCCTTATGATCATCTCCAGTATTTTCTAAGCTACTGAATAACACTCAAAGAATATTTTGGAATTATCTTGATCCTTTCTCTCTTCTTCTCTACCTTGGACAGCAAGATGATGAGTTTGGTGGGTTGTTTGTTTTAAATATCTTTTTAATGTTTTCTCTTCATCCATATAGTTATAACCTCTATTCAGGCCTTCCTTATTCCTATATTGATCTGTTAAAATAATAGCATAGTACAAAGTTTCTTTGCCTCTACATAGGCTGTTTGCTAAGCCCCTCTCCATGTAGTTTTACCTTCAACTTCACTGAGTTTAGATAATACAGAGTATAAGCCTCATACATTTTTAAGTGATTAGAGAAAGAGTCTGGAGCAAGTATTTTCAAGTAGGTTAAGTTGATATTGAAACTTGGCTAATTTTAGTAATGAGGATAGGGACTTAGGAATTCTTACCATAGGGAAGGAGTAAAACTGAGAAAATAGGATTTTTTAGTGGAATTAAGTCTTGAAAAAGCCTAGCAACAATCAAATCCTGGGACTTGAAGAAGACTTTGACACCATTTAATGACAGCTCAGAAACACACCAACAAAGTAATTATTTTAAAAAAAGCAAAAAAAAAAAAAAAAAAACTGGGGCTGGCGAGATGGCTTAGTAGTTAAGAGCACTGGCTGCTTGTCCAGAGATCCCAGGTTTGGTTCCCAGCACTCACAAGACTGCTAACAGCTATCTGTAACTCTAGTTCCAGGGACTCTGAATGCCCTCTTCTGGCCTCCACAGGCATTGCACACATGTGATGACCATACATACATGCAGGCAAAACACATACAGATAACTTTTTTAAAATTAAATTTAAAAATCTGAGGGCTAGGAGATGGCTCAGTGATGTGCTGCACTTATAGAGGACTGGAGCTTAGTTCTTAGCACCCATGTATAGAGGCTCACAATCACTTGTAGTTCCAGGGGATCCATTTCCATTTTTGGCCTTCATGGGCACCAGCATACACACACACACACACGTGCCCACATACACATAAATAAAAAAAAATTTTTTTTTTTGTCTTTTTGAGACAGGGTCTCCTTGTACCCACAGCTGGCCTGAAACTCGATATGTAGACCAGGCTGGCCTCGAACTTACAGAGATCCGCCTGCCTCTGCCTCCCAAATGCTGGGATTAAAGGCATGTGCCACCGCACCCAGCTAAAAATAAATCTTTTAAAAAATGTATTTAACTGCTGAGCCATCTCTCTAGCCCCAAGTAAAATAAATTGTAAAACAAGATCAGTGTGACAAGAATAAAGGCATAAAATGTGATAAAAGATATATTTATGTATTAGTAATATTAATAGGTAAATGACTTGCCATTACAGTCTTCTGTACTTGACGTAAATTTGGTTTGGATTTGCACTTTTTGTTTTTCTTTCAAATATTTCATTTATTATTTTTATTTTTTGTGTATGAGTGTGTTGCCTGCATGTCTGTAAGTACACCTGGGTTGTGCCATGCCTGCGGGGGTCAGAAGAAGGTGTCGGATCCCCTGGAACTGGAGTTTGGGACAGTTGATAGCCACCATGTAGGTGCTGGGACTCAAACTCAGGTCTTCTGCAAGAACAGCCAGTGCTCTTAACTGCTGAGCCATCTCTCCAGCCCCTGTACTTCTTGTTTTTAGATGTTTGCCTTTTACTGAAGTATAACTAAAATGGAAACAACTAATGGCTAAACTGTGTGGCCTGGAAATAGGCATTTATCAAAGGGATAAAGTGGACTGATACATATTAGAAAAAAACTTCCTGAAATAAACAGTAAACTTCCCTCACATTCTTGGACTACAGCAGACAGATCAAAGCAAGCCTTTTCCAGAGATACCTGTTTGATGGCTCCTGTTGATAAGCTTCTTGAGAACTGCTGAGTAGGAAATAAACGAAACTGAACTCCAGTTCCTCATCTTTAGAGGAACAAGGAACAACTGTCTCTGAGGATAGTGGTCTTGAAACATACTGCTTGCTACTGAATTTTAGGTGGAACCAATTAATGTTTATTTTTGAGTATGCGTAGGAAAATACTAGTCAGCTTTAGTGAATTCAAGACCAATTGAACCCTTAAAAACAATGCCACTTTTGTTTGGCCATTTGGAGTAACTGCCATTTTTATAACTTCTGGTTATAAACTGTACCGTTCACTGTTCAGTTACAGAATGAATATTGTGCTACTACGACTGCTAAAACTGACCAGCAATAATATAATTTGGCTGCTGTCGTTACTGATAATACTCCCTAAATCTTCTAGTTTCCTATATGTTTGATACTCAGGAACTTCTATGAAACCATACTTGCTTCTCTGCATTCCATCTCTCAGTGCAGTTTCTCATCTTTCATGAGCATCATCCTTATGTTCAGAATGTCACACAGGAGAAAAATCTTACATTTTGTTGTTAGCATTCTTTTCCCACACCAGTTCTCCTTCTCATGTTACCTGTTTCAGTGACATTCAGCTGAACTATGTGGTTTAGAATTTTTTTGAGACAGGATCTCACTAGCCCAGGTTGGCCTTGCTCTTTTGATCCACCCACCTCAGCCTCCTGAGGACTGAGTACAGGCATATGCCATCGGGCCTGGCTGGCTTGAATGTTTATATTTTCTTTTCTTTCTTTTTTTTTTTTCCATTCTGCATTATCTACTTAGCTACCAAGTTTTCTGAAATATCTTTGACTATTTTTTCCTTGTTTCTTATTCTCTTCATTCCTTTCCAGGCCCTGTGGCCTCAGACCTGGAATCACTCTGTAGGCATTGAACTGGCCTACTCTAACAAAAGTCTTCCTTTTGTGAAGTTTGACTGATCCTCTAGGTTCAACTAAAGCAAACTAAGCACTTCCTGTGTGTTTAGTATTAGGTGATGGTAGTATACCAGTTTGAACAGAAAAACGTTTGGTAAATAATGGGAGAAGCAGTGTGACAGCAATAAAATTTGAAACAGAAGGAAAGACCATTTTACCCTTGAAGATGCAGCTTCTCCACCTTAGCCCCATCAGATAGAATGGGTATATTGCCCTCTAATGCCACAAAACTTATGGTTTGGAAGGGAAGGAAATATTTGATGAAGCGTGTGAGTGTTATGGTAGAAGTACTATGATGTGGGCCCTAGTCTCTTAACCTTATGTGGTCAAGCGAGTGCCTTACAGGAAATAAAGAGCCATAACTGACTGGAATACAGTGCTCTAGACTAACACAGCAAGTGTGATCAAGTTTAGAATAAATAGAATGCCGCGCTGGAGAGATGGCTCAGCGATTAAAAATACTGACTGTTCTTACAGAAGACCTGGGTTCAAATCCCAGCATCCACATGTCAGCTAACAATTGTCCAAAACTCTAGTTCCAGGGCATCCAATGGCTTCTTCTGTCCTCTGTGGGCATTGCAAGTCATGGGTGCACTTACCTACATGCAGGTAGTACACTCATACACATAAAATAAAAATGAATGAATGAATGAATGAATGAATAAATAAATAAATAAATAGAATGCCATTATGTACCAGATACTGAGAACTAAGAATAACATCTAGACTGTGTCATCAGGAGCTGATCCTCTGTGAGTCTCTTTTAAGTCATTATTATAGAAATTAAGATTATGAATCTTGGACTTCAGGGTCTTCATGTGTCCAGGAGAAGCTGATTGTCTTACTTGACTGAACTAAGAGATGTCTGAGTACACAAAATTGAAGCTGACTTTCCTAATGTACTGGGATTGTAGAACTATGTCTCAAAGATAGAGCTTGACATACCTACTGATCTGATACAAGACTGATGTATAAAAAGAGAATGCCAGTTATTTTCATAGTGGCTAATGCCTATAATCATGTTGATGTGGCTGATTCATCATTCCCCCTTAGAAGCCAAATTATGAGAAAATTTGGAGAGTATGGAATTAGAACATGAGGACTTTCTCAAAAAGAATTGCCATATAAACAGACATGGACATTTGGGGTTTTGCTTTTTTTTTTAATTTTTTTAAAAATTTTATGTGTATGAGTGTATTGCCTGTATGTATGTGAGTGCACCCATGTCGTGCAATGCCACAGAGATCAGAAGAAGGCTTCGGATTCCCCTGGAACTGGGGAGTTAAGGACAGTTTGAAGCTGCCATGTGGGTGTTGGGAATCGAGCCCGGGTCCTCTGTAAGAGCAATCAGAGCTCTTAACCGCTGAGCCATCTCTCCAGCCCAGTTTTACTTATTTTTAACAGTGTTGTGGATTGAACTCTGGCCCTCACACATGGCTAGGCAAGTTCTCTGCCACTGAGCTAACATACCCAACCCTGTATAGAGTTTTGAGAACGATACTACCATTGTTTACCTTTATTACTATTTATTAATTGACTTATTAAACAGGCTAGATTTCATCCAAGAGACAAGGGAAAGTCACTGGAGGAATTTAGGCAGGTGGGATATAATCTTTTTCATTCTTTTGAAATGCACCATATGAATTGTGTTTGAGAGAACAGAAGCTGGATGCCAAGAGAAACATTTAGAAATCAATTCTAGTTCTCCACATGACGAGTAACAATGGAAAACAGGGATAATGAGGAAGAGCAAAATCTAGTAAGTGCTGAACAGATCTGCCTCATTCCTACTCTGACCCCCACTAAGTGGTTCATCTGATAGTGTTTTATTCTCTATATCAAAGTGTTCACTAAGTAATTCCTTTATTATTTGGGTTATGATGTTTTACTTTCTTTGAACCCTGATAGAATTCTCATTTGAAAAGTGGGGGAAAAAAACAACAAACATTTGGACTAACTCAAGCACCATTCTTGGGTTAAGGGTTTAAATGTTGAGTGAATGCTCATTTGTCTACAGCTACATGTGTCTTCTTCACTTTGTGTACAGTTGACACTTGATGTTCATAAAGTAATTTTTAAAAGCCTTTGAAAGCTGTTATAATAGCCTTTTGGGGGTGCATTAAAAACAGATATGGCCATGCATTTGGTCTTGGAAGGTAAATCCAGGTTTCTAAATTGTTTGAATGTTCTTAAATTCAACCTTTTTACATTTCTGTTCTTTAGGTCTGCCAAAATGTCTGAAAGATCAGATCTCCTTCACTTCAAGTTTGAAAATTATGGAGATTCAATGTTACAAAAAATGAACAAATTAAGAGAAGAGAATAAGTTTTGTGATGTTACAGTTCTCATAGATGATATTGAGGTACAGGGGCATAAAATTGTATTTGCTGCAGGTTCCCCCTTTTTAAGAGACCAGTTTTTACTGAATGATTCCAGAGAGGTGAAAATCTCCATATTACAGAGTTCTGAAGTGGGGAAGCAATTGCTCTTATCCTGTTATAGTGGTGTACTGGAATTCCCTGAGATGGAACTGGTAAATTACTTGACTGCTGCAAGTTTTCTTCAGATGAGCCACATTGTAGAACGGTGCACACAGGCCCTGTGGAAATTTATAAAGCCAAAACAACCAATGGATAGTAAAGAGGGATGTGAACCGCAGAGTGCTTCTCCCCAGTCGCAAGAACAGCAGGGAGACGCCAGAGGCTCTCCAAAGCAGGACTCGCCTTGTATTCACCCATCTGAAGACAGTATGGATATGGAGGACAGTGATATTCAGATTGTTAAGGTAGAATCAATTGGGGATGTATCAGAGGTTAGAAGTAAAAAAGATCAGAACCAGTTTATTTCTTCTGAACCCACTGCTTTACATTCTTCAGAGCCCCAGCACTCCCTGATAAATTCAACTGTGGAAAACAGAGTAAGTGAGCTAGAACAAAACCACCTCCACAATTATGCCCTCTCTTACACAGGCAATGATAATATCATCATGACCTCAAAAGATGTCTTTGGGCCCAATATTCGAGGTGTAGACAAAGGCTTACAGTGGCATCACCAGTGCCCAAAGTGTACCAGGGTGTTTCGTCACCTCGAGAACTACGCCAACCATTTAAAAATGCACAAACTCTTTATGTGTCTACTCTGCGGCAAGACTTTTACTCAGAAAGGCAATCTTCATCGACACATGCGTGTGCATGCCGGAATCAAACCTTTCCAGTGTAAGATCTGTGGGAAAACCTTTTCTCAGAAGTGTTCCTTACAGGATCATCTTAACCTTCACAGTGGAGATAAGCCCCATAAATGTAACTATTGTGATATGGTTTTTGCACATAAGCCAGTTTTGAGGAAACATCTTAAACAGCTGCATGGCAAAAACAGCTTTGATAATGCCAATGAAAGAAATGTACAAGACCTCACAGTGGATTTTGATTCTTTCGCATGTACAACAGTCACAGAATCTAAAGGTTGTCAGCCACAATCTGATGCAGCACAGGTCCTGGATGCAGGTAAACTGACCCAAGCTGTCCTGAACTTAAGGAGTGATAGTACTTGTGTGAATTGAGTAGGGGCCTAATGCTCACAACTAGATTGGACTGAGAGTGTGGCAATAGTCTGAGTCTTTTTAAGAGTGATTTTGATAGTTTCTTCTCCAAAGTCTCCATGCAGGTGGTAGTGGGTGAGTTAAAGCACTAAGACCAGACAACTTACCACTTGGTGTGGTTTTGCTTTCCTTTTGTCTGCTCCCATTTTCTTTTTTGAGTTATTTATCCTGTGATGTCTATTTTCCTTTCCCAATGAATAATTCCATTTGTCTACCTAATGTTGACTTATGTCTTAGACTGACACTATTTTAGGCTTTTAACTAAGCACATTCTGAAGGTACCTTCAAATAACATCACCTGCTTTCCACTAATCGATGCTATGCTTAGGAAAGTGAATGATATTTTTCTTCAGTAAGAGAAAGTAGACTGAGATATAAGGTGATACTGCTGTTGACCTAAATATGTGATAGAGCCCTTTTTTTGTCTACTGATAATTCATCCATATCTAATGAATGAATCTGCTGCCTACCATTTGTATTGTATTTGGAGCTGCTATAAAGAAGTATGTTGGTTTGTTCTGTACTTTTCAACACTACCATAGCCCAAATACATCTCACTCTACAGCCCAGAGTACAGTCTTTTCAGCAACATCTGCAGACAGATAGTTTTAGGGACCACCATAGAAAGCATAATCAACAAAGGATAGAGGTACAATAATATGGAAGTGGGTACATGGAAGGTTTTCTAGGTATCATGTCCCAGCGAGAGAGGGGCCATTGGCTTTTAGTATGTAGCTTAATTTTTCATGCTTTTGTAATTATAATTGCTTTAGTCATACTTAAATGAGCTAAAGAATAATGGTCTCTGTAGAAATGGACTGTACTGGAGTCTCTGAACTTGTATCAGAGTTTAATCATCAGAAAGGTGAGTTTGGCCATCAGTTTTTTTTCCAATATGCAGTAAGTGTCTCTGAGTTTTTCTTTCCCCGTGTACCTTAATATTAGAAATAGATGGGAAAAAAAAAAGTGGGATACAGGATAATAGCCAGATTTTCTTGCATTTAGATAGGTTTCATAAATACATACTGTCCCACTTTGCCACCTTTGATAGTTGGTCTTCAAAGATGAAAAAAAAATTTTTTTCTTAAATACATTTCATACATAATTTTGAGCCTTGTTTCTGATCCATGAGTTCCATTTAGGTGACAGGAATGTTAGAGAACTTAGAAACTCTTGAAGGATTATTTACTCCATCACTGTCAGTTTAAGTTAGGGCATCCAAGGTCCAAATAGGTGGCCTGGCTGCCGTTGCCCAAATATACATGACAAAATATGAATGACTGCCCCCATAACTTTTCTCACCATCTTTCATTTAAAAAGATTCAGTACCTGATGAATAACAACACATTAGCAGAAAGGTCCAAGCTTCACCTTTGGTTGTACCTTCTGACTTTCTGAGACGGCCTAGGTTTTGCCAACAAAATACCCAGAAGGACTTGTGATAATTATTTTTTTAAATCATTTTATTCTGGTGGTTTGTGCTTATAATCTTAGCCCTTGGGAGGCTGAGGTACTAGTGTTGCTATAAGTTCAAGGCCAGTCAGCCTGGACTACAGAGTGAGACCCTGTCTCAAAAGACCTAAATAAATAAGTACAATTATTTTGTTATAGTAATGCTGGGGCTCAAACCCAGTGCCTCACATATACTAGGCAAGCACTATACCTACTCCTAAAGTACACCTCAACCCATTAATTATTTTTAGTTAGATGAATATTGCATTCTTTCCAAGTAGCTGATTTGCAGTGTTGGTAGGAAAGGAAAGGGCAAGTTAGAATAACGTGAAAAGGAACCGAATATGAAGCTTATTTTTGTCTGGAAAATTATTTCCACCAGAATTTTGTTGTTTTTTTGCGCTATGAGAGTACATGCACAGATAATACAGAAATTAGACTTAACTTATATAGTCAGGGGGACATGTTATAATTTGATGTATTTACATGTGACTCAGATTTGAGATATAATTTTTCTTCTACCAAATATTTAAGAATGCAGTTGATAAAACTAGAGATACCTTCTGCTCAACATCACTCATTGTGTGGTCTAATGCTTCCTTGCATTCTGAGTTTTCCATGATTCAGCCAAAGAGTCCCAGTTCTATGCAGCAACGAAACTACCAAGTCATCCAATGTTTTGCGTATTTTTTCTGAACACCATTTTTCCACAGGAGAATTTCAAGATGGGGTGCTCCCCTTGCTCATATTCATGTCCCGTTTCTGTCACTAGTTTGAAGACTAAAAAGCATGGGTTCAAGTAAGATTGGTCTCTTTGGTTGGAGACTGTTTCTGTCCTTCAAGAAACTTTTATTTTTAAATGCTGGGGATTGGACCCACTGCCTACTGAGCTACTTCCACAGCCTCAAGAAACATTATTAAGCAACTGCTATTTCCAGGCACTATGTTAGTTTCTGAGGATATGAAGGTAAGATTGGTATGGTCCCTGTCCCTATGGAGCTTATAGTGTCATGTGATGTTAGTGAAACACAGTCTCAAATTTATTCCATACTAAGAATAAACCTGCTTTGTTTTCTTTGTTCACTTAAAATCAGCCTTTTTAATTTACTATTACTAAAGTTTTTAGTTCTGTTTGCAGGTGCAAACCACTTAACTAATTTGTGGTCTCCATTTCTTGACTGGAGAGGTCTTCTGTTTCTGTGAGACATCTGATTTTGGTGGGACTTGCATTCTTTGCTTACACAGTTCTTAGATTATATTGCAGAGATCAAGTTATTGATGTCAAGTATTCTTCATAGTGGAAGATGGCTTTTAACACTAGTCATGTTCCTATAGAAGAGGAAGGGTTTTTAAACCTTAGTTATTCCACTTTTGTATTGTATGGATTACTAGGAAAACTCCAAAAGGAAGAGGATTCTCTTTACTATAGTTTGGTGGTTTTTTTTGTTGTTGTTTTTTGTTTTTTTTTTAATTACTGTGTCAGTTATTTATTTATTATTTAATATTAAAACAAGCTCCAAACTGAAGTGGCTCTGAGGTAAATCAGATGTGGTTTTGTTTTAGTTTAGAAGATGTGTAAATGGAAGGTGACCAGTGTCACCATTTCTAAAATATTGTCCTAAACAAACAACCCAGAACATTTTATTTCAGCTCATGAATGGCTGTTCTAAATCTGTTGTATGTTAGACATACTTTGAACTACCTCTTACTTAATATGGGGACGTTTCCTTAATAAAAGCGTGACAGTTAAAACTGCAGTGTCAGTGGTCTTATTTTCCTACTCTTCCCTCCCTTCCTTTTCAGTTGCTTGAGTTTGAATCCAAGAATGCTTAATTGGGTTGGGGAGATGGTTCAGTGGTTAAGAGCAAGTACTGCTCTTCCAGAAGACCTGAGTTCAATTCCCAGCACCCAAGTCCAGAGGCTCACAACTGCCAGTAACTCCAGCTGCAGGGGACCAGATGCGTCTTGCCTCTTGCACTCACATACACATAATTTTTATTTTGAGACAGGGTCTCCCTGTAGCTCCAGCTGGCCCTGAACTCGATATATAGACCAGGCTGGTCTTGAACTCACAGATCTACCTGCCCCTGCCTCCCGAGTGCTGGGATTAAAGGTATGCGTCACCACGTCAGGCTCACATAATTTGAAAAATACAAATCTTAAAAAAAAAATGTTGAGGGGAGCCAGTCATATGCCTTTAATCCCAGCACTGAGGAGGCAGGCTCTGTTGAGTTTGAGGCCAGCTTGGTCTACATGAGCTCCCGGCCAGACAGAGACCCTAAAAACTAAATTATTACTATGCTGAGCTGCAGAGAATGCAGCTATTAGTAGAGTTTAGCATGTAGGTAAAAAGTTGACCTTGCCTTCTGATGGAAATGTGGGTTAACCAAAAATTATTAGTAGTTATTAATCTGCTGAGGAGGTAGATCATCTGCTTTTAAGAATAGCTTCAGAGCCAGACTTAGTGGCACAAACACCTTTAATCTAGACGCTGGCAGACCTCAGAGGACTGGACCAGTCTGGTCTACAAAGCAAGTTCCAGCCCAGCTGAGGTTACAAACATTTCTCAAAAACAAAAAAAGCAAGTTTAAGGGCTGGAACGTGGTTTAATGATAGAGTGCGTGTCTAGCATTCCCAAAGTTCTGGTTTCTGTCTCCAGAAATCGGGGGGGGGGGCAGGATCCGACATCCCTTCGCCCTGCAAAATAATTGGAGCATACTGAGTTAGACTTGAGCTAACTGAGCTAGACTTCCGGAACGCACAGATAGTAAATATAGTCCAAAATACCTCTACTTTGATGTGGCACAAATTTCGATGCAGGTATGTAACTACGTTTTTGGATGGCTCAAAGGATAATGCCTTACACACACACACACACACGAGTTTTGAAGGGTACGTGGAAAAGCAAGGAGTGCTTTGCATTGGCACAGTTCAATCTCCATCAAATCGAAAGGAAGAGAAAAATGGAGCTAGGCTCGGAGTGTCATACATCTTATCTATCTTCAACAAGGCAGTTCCACTCAGCATGGTGGGGAGGATGGCACTAGAAACAAGACCTGGAGAGGAATGATGTTGACTCCAGGGGTCGAGGCCGGATCCTGATAGGTAGTAAGCAGGCAAGCGCCAATAAAAAGCCACTTTACAAGTAGTAGAAGACCCGCCCCACCGTAGCTCTTGGGTACCCCGGCTTGGCGTGCTCTTCACACGGGCTTTAACCAGCTTCACACTCAGTTTCCAAATCAGACGTTCAGGAGGACTCAGCAGCGGAATCGGCCAAAACTCTGAAACTGGATCAGAAAAGACAGCGAGCTGGTGTTCAGGTGTCTTTCTCATTCCAGGAGTCAAGAAGTGAGGATGAAACAGCGCCTCTAGATGTCCTTCCGGGCCGCTGGCAAGGATAAAGCTGGTTAACACCGGATGTGTTTCCTCCCCGGCTCAGCCTTCCTTCCGGCCTGGGCCGCCGTTGCCTCGGAAGCCTCAACGCGTTTTGCAAGTCGGTAAGTGACAGGAGACCGCAGAGGGTGAGGCCTTGAGGGCGGCAAGGCTCAGGGCTGCAGCCGGGCGCGCTCAGAGGTTCGTCTGGCGCCGTGGCTTTCGGAGAGCTCCGCACTAGAGTCCCGCAGCGAGTTTCCAGGGCACCTAGATTCGGTGTCAGTTCTGGTTTCCCGAGCCCTTCCTGCCGTGTGCGGGACCTGAACTCCCTGGATGAACACAGGTGCACCCGGAGCTACGCGGGCCCAGTGTTTCCTGGATGAACACACAGGTGCGTGGGAGCTACGCTAGCCCCGTGTTCCTGGGATGAACACAGGTACATGGGAGCTACGCTGGCCCGGTGCTCTTGGGATGAACACAGGTGCATGGGAGCTATGCGGCCCTCGGGCCTCCTACTTCTGGGATGAACACAGGTAGGTGCATGGGAGCTATGCTGGCCCCGTGCTCCCGGGATGAACACAGGTGCATTCAGAGCAGCTGAGTACCCCTAAGAGGAGGAGTTACGTTAGTCTCTTGATTTGGGCTGAGGGGTGCCAAATCACCACTTGGGAAGAGGCGTTGGAAACGTGAATGCGCTAGGCAAAGGGGTGTCCCTGTTTTTGTCTGAGCAATGGTGAAAATTTAATATTGAGGCGCTTGGGATATAAAAAACAGATAAATCCATAAAAAAGGTGATTTAGGGTGAAATCCTGAGGATTTCATATTCTTTTTAAATATTTTATTATTTTTATTTTATGTGTGTGTATTGCCTGCGTGTAGGTAAGTGCACCCGTGTCGTGTAATGCCCACGGAGGACAGAAGAGGCTGTTGGATCCCCTGTAGCTAGAGTTATGGACAGTTGTTAGCTGCCATGTGGGTGCTGGGATTCGAACCCAGGTCTTCTGCAAGAACAATCAGTGTTCTTAACCGCAGAGCCATCACTCCAGCTGCATGGATTTCGCATTCTTTTTTAAGAACGAAAGGCTGCCCTGGAGGCAGAGGAGAGGGACGGAAAATTTAAGCCTAAGAGCGTTTCTTTCTTTGAAAAAAAAATTCTTTTTTATGATATTCTGTTAGGAATTTGGGTCGGTAATTCAGAATATAAGAGTTTTTCAAGAGACCCGTTGAAAGGCATCACGATGGCAGAGGTGAGCAGGGCTGAGGACGTGTAATAGTGGTGGGCAGTGGGCAGTTTGGACATTTCGTTTTCTAACTTGGGATACTATGTTAAGTGTACTTTTTGGTATCACTGTACCTGTTACTGGTTTTTATTTTTAATTTATTTTTATATTATGTGTATGAGTGTTTTGCCTGCATGTAAGTGCACTCATGCATGCCATACCCACAGGAGGCTAGAAGAGGGTTTCCCTGGAACTGGAGTTATAGACTATTGTTAGCTGCCATGTGGGTGCCGGGAACCAAACTGGATCCTCTGCAAGAGCAGCCAGTGCTCTTAACCACCAAGCCATCTCTCTAGTCCCATGTTACAGGTTTTTAAAACATAAATGCAATGAGATGATAGAGATATGCATTATGATTTCCTGGCTTTATAGAGGGTAGTTTAGGGACAGCTTCACTCAGCATTTGAAGTAGAATTTGGCTCTTCATTTTTCCAACTCAGGTTGGGAGGGAGGATTCTTTTTACCATGTAACATGGGAAAGCATCACCTATCCAATATGTTAATGCTTGTGCTCTGTTTTGCTTAGATTGTGACCATGGCTGCTGAGTCTGATGTTCTGCACTTCCAGTTTGAACAACAAGGAGATGTGGTCTTACAGAAAATGAATCTGTTGAGACAGCAGAATTTATTTTGTGATGTATCCATTTATATTAATGATACCGAATTCCAGGGGCACAAGGTGATTTTAGCTGCTTGCTCCACTTTCATGAGAGATCAGTTTTTACTCACACAGTCAAAGCATGTCAGAATCACAATTCTGCAGAGTGCAGAAGTTGGCAGAAAATTGTTGTTGTCTTGCTATACTGGAGCACTTGAAGTTAAAAGGAAAGAGCTTTTAAAATATTTGACTGCTGCCAGTTACCTTCAGATGGTTCACATTGTAGAAAAATGTACAGAAGCTTTGTCAAAGTATCTGGAAGTTGATCTTTCTATGAAAAATAACCAGCACACTGACTTGTGTCAGTCTTCTGATACAGATGTTAAGAATGAAGAAGAAAATTCTGACAAAGACTGTGAGATAATTGAAATTTCAGAAGACAGTCCTGTAAACATAGATTTCCATGTTAAAGAAGAGGAAAACAATGTATTGCAGTCTACAGTAGAGAGCTTGACCTCAGAGAGAATGGGGATGAAGTCACCAGAGCTCTCTACAGTAGATATTGGTTTCAAAGAGAATGAAATTTGTATCCTCCATGTAGAATCAATCAGTACAGCTGGTGTGGAAAATGGGCAGTTTCCACAGCCATGTACCTCATCCAAAGCAAGCATGTATTTCCCTGAAACACAGCATTCGCTGATCAATTCTACAGTTGAGAGCAGAGTGGCAGAAGTTCCTGAGAATCAAAATCAAGAGGTATTTTGTGAAAATACTGATGCAACTCATGGTACAGCAAATGAGATTCAGAATCTGGATGAGAGTTTTTCACTGAGGCACCAATGCCCCAGGTGTCCCAGGGGCTTTCTCCATGTTGAAAATTATCTGCGCCACCTTAAGATGCATAAACTCTTTCTGTGCTTGCAGTGTGGGAAAACATTTACACAGAAGAAAAATCTCAACCGGCACATTCGAGGACACATGGGTATAAGGCCTTTTCAGTGTTCTGTGTGCTTGAAGACCTTTACTGCCAAAAGCACACTTCAGGACCACTTAAACATACACAGTGGGGATCGGCCATATAAATGCCATTGTTGTGATATGGATTTCAAGCACAAATCTGCTCTCAAAAAGCATTTAACTTCAGTTCATGGCAGAAGCAGTGGTGAAAAACTACCTAGGCCTGATCTCAAAAGGCAGAATCTACTATAATCAAAATCATGACCTTCCTATGTAAACATTGTATCTCTGTTAGGCAAGTCTTTTTGTAGAAATGTAGCATTTTTATGTAACCCTCCCCCCAAACTTTAGGGGTGTTTGTTTGGTTTTGGTCTGTTTACATGTTATTTCTGAATTTTTAATGTTCCAAAGTTGTATAAGGCATAACAAAGCTAATGAGACTCTGCCTTGGACACAAAATACATTATTTGTAAGTTCTCTGTCTAGTGATAGAGGGTCCAGCAATATTTGCAGATTCTGATTTGTGGTCTTTAGATAAATAATCTAACTATATGGTAACTTTAATGAGTCAAAATGACAGGAAAATAGATTTGGCGGGGGGTGGGGTGGTGGCAGGGGGAGGTCTTTTTGAGACAGGGCCTGTAGCCCCAGCTGTCCTGGAACTCACTATGTAGACCTGGCTGGCCTTGAACTCATAGAGATCTGCCTGCCTGTGCTTCCCGAGTGCTAGGATTAAAGGTATGCGCCACCATGCCCAGCCTAGGAAAATAGATTTTTAAGCACACTGTTGTCCATTACTATTAATTTTGAAAGCACATAGGAATAGCAGTATTATTTTCTTTTTTAACTTTCTACCAGAACACCAAGATCTTGTTTTAAACTACAAGAACACAATAAGAATTCACTTGGAAATAGCAGAATTGCCTTATAATTGCATTATCCTTTTAAATTATTAAATGTCCGTTAGAATACATCATTAGACCTTTTCCCTGATTCCATGTAATAAATTGGATTAATAATTCTCTGACCAATAAAAATGCACTCTTGGTATAGACTGAAATTAGAAATTTAATTTTATCAAAGACATTTGATAGAAATTCCAGTTTTATCAGACATTTGTTCTAATGTTCACTTAAAATTCTTTTTTTTTTTTTTCTTTTTTTGGTGAACATGCACTAACGTTGACCTTTGGGGATTATATTTCTATGAATTTGAGCACGTGTAGTTTTCTGAAATTAGGATAGAGAACAGTTCCATCCCTCTGCAGACTCCCCCATGCTGCCTCTTTGTAGTCAAGTCCTCTCACTCTAGACGCCAATGGTTCTTCATCATGATTCGTTCATATCTGGAATGACATGTACATGGAATTTTTCACCCAACACAATGCCTTTGAGATCCTTTTTTATTTATTTTACTTTCAGATGATCTGTGTAGCCCAGGGTGTCCTGAAACTTGATATCTTCCTGCCTCACCTATTGAGTGCTGGGATTGTAGGTGCATCACCATTATATATGGTGGTCACCATATGAACAGTTTAAATTTGGAAGGCTAATAGAATTAGTTATAACTATTTATAATGCTTTCTCATTTGCTCTGCCTTTGACAAAGATCTTAACCATCCCTAGAATTTTATTTGATATTTCTAGAAAAATACCACTTGTAAAATAACGGCTATGAGTATTTTAGTGAGAGTAATGTTTCAGATTATGTTCTGAGCCACAACTCTCTATGTAAATTCAAAACTTTTTTACTATTAAAATGAAGAACAAAATACAGTGTAGGGCAAATCACCTCCCTGAACTTAGGAACTACTCACCTTCAAGCTGTTCTATTTCTCTTCCACAATCCTCAGCTTTATGCAGAATTTCTACTGTATTTAAGTTCTGTTGACAATTCCTGTATTTTAAAATGTACTTTATACTATATGAGAATTTTGTGAGGATCATATTGTAAAGTCTAAATATATAATTTTTGTGATACTTTTGTGGGAAAAATGTTCTACATAGATTTTTAACTCTGAGAGACTTCAAAGAATCAAGGTCTCAAAACTGACTTCATAACCAAGGTCACTAATGACGTCAAGCAGGTCACGTGTCCAACTTTTCATATATATATATATGTGTATGTATATATATGTGTGTGTATATATATATATATCCTTGGTCTTCATAATTTGTAAGGTTATTTCTAGACCTAAATTTATACAAATTTATATTATTCATGACAACAGAAAAGAATTTTGTGTCTTCAGATTGTTGCTATTTGAATACTCTCTGGGAGACAGAATTTTTCTAAAGTAAATACTGTTTCTTCCACAGAATAATGAACTAGTTCAGTGATTAATTTTCTTTCCCATATGACTTAAGAATGACCAATTATAACTGCGGAAGATTTTTCCCTCTGAGATATAGTTTACCTGTGATTGAAGTGCTTCTTTCATTTTTGCTTCATAGATTAAAATGTTGGGAGGGGTAGGGATGGGCAGAGAGGGTAAAATATAGTAAATGAGGTTTTAGAAATTGGTATCTACCATACTGAATGTTTGGAACATTTTGATCAAAACTTTAAGTTTTATGTGTGCCTTGTAAGTTTGGTGTAAAAAAAAAATTGTGAGCACTTTGAAATTTTTGCCTGTGGGCAGGGTGTTGTATAAAAGTGATGGTGGTTATTTATATTATTTATTTCCGTGAAGTAACACAGAGTGAGTTCACAACATTCCTATGAGCTGAGTGAAGGGGCACATGCCTGCAATCCCAGCACTTGGGAGGTAGAGTCAAGAGAATTAGTTCAAGGCCAACCCTGACTACTTAAGTTTGAGTCTATCCTCAGCTCCATTGAGACCCTGTTTCAGGGGGGAAAACAAAAATAAACAAAAAAACCCAAAACATTCCTGGAAGAATATGTTTGCATGCTGTTTGAAAAATTCAGGAAAATAGAATCTTTTAAAATACACAGGTATAGTAAAGTGTAGAATTTATTCATTTTTAAAATACTTTTAGCTGTTACGTAACATGACAGCAGTATGTTTGGGTTTAGCTTATTTACTGCACTTATGTATATAAATACAAAATATCTTGAAAAGGTAGTTCCTACTTTGTTAAAGGAAATCCTTTCCCTTTTTCATTGGATGTAATTACGTTTGTATAAGACATAATAAACTGGAGGTGGGAATGAAGAACTTTGGGTTTATGTATTTATGAATTTTAAAGGACTCATTTCATTTTTTTTTTTTTTTTTTTTTTTTTTGAGACAGGGTCTTCCTGTAGCTCCAGCTGACCTGGAACTTGATACGTAGACCAGGCAGGCCTCGAACTCACAGAGCTCTGCCTGCCTATGCTTCCTGAATGCTGGGATCAAAGGTGTGTGCCAACACACCTGACAGGATTCACTTTTTTTAATAGGTTAAAAAAATCAGGAGTAGACTTCAGTGGTTAAGAGTACCCACTGCTCTTGCACAGGACCCAGGTTCGATTCCTAGCACCCACATGGCAGCTATCAGTTCTGGGGGAGTCCAATACCCTCTTCTGACTCCACAGACATTGTACAACGCGGGTGCACATACACACATGCAGGCAATACACTCAGAAACAAAAAGAAAATCGGGTGTGGCCGGGTGTGATGGCACATGCCTGTAGTCCTAGCACTTGGAAGGCAGAGGCAGGTGGATCTCTGTGAGTTCCAGGCCAGCTGGGACTACCGAGAGACCATGTTTCAAAAAGACAAAAAACAAACAAACAAAAACCCAGGTGTGTGTATGTGGATATGCAGGTCCCCTTAGAGGTCAGAGGCATTGGAACCCTCTGGAGTTGGAGTTATAAGGTAGTTGTGAGCTACCCACCATGGATGCTGGAAACTTGAACTCAGGTCTCTGCAAGAGCAGCACATGCTGTTAACCACTGAGCCATCTCTCCAGCCCAAGAACTCAGTCTCTCCTGGCTATTTAATCATTTCAGAAATACCTAATAGGTCTCTTTACTATATTTCTGTACTAGGAGTAAGGTAAAAATACCTGCTGTCTTGGGGGCCTGTATTCTCGTGGCGATAGGCAAGCTAAACAAGAAAATGTATGCCAGATTTTCTAAAATCAAATTGGTAAAAAAAAAAAAAAAAACGCAGGGATCAAGATTGACAGGGAAAGGAGGATGGTATTGTAACTATGGTTTTCCACCTTTGATAAATTTTACTCATATACCTGGGGAAGTGGCGGGGTGGCAGATGCTGTGTAGCTCAGGCTGGCCTCTTAATTTACTAATCTGCTTCAGCTTTCCAATTGCTGGGTTCATAGGCATGCACTATCAACCCTGGCTTATCACCTATATATTTTAAGGGCTATTTATAAAAGTTAGTTTGCTGTATTCTAACATGAGCGATTTACTTCCACTGATCTTTTTGCTGGTATGAAACAGTTTCACATCACAACGGAGTCATTTAATGATAAGGCGTAACCATTAACCCGTGTTCTTCAGTTTCTCCTTAGCAACAAAGAATACACGTTGTCAGCCTTTTAGGATTACTTTGATAAGTAGATGAAATATAAATAAAAAGTTTTAAAGTATCACCCATTATAGGTTCTGGCATATAGTAGTAGTGGTTCATAATCGTTGGTTTCCTCATTCTTATTCCCAGTCTATTCATTTATGAGAACATAAAGAATAATTCCTGCCTTCAATTTTTACGAAAAGTTCTTTAACAAATACTTATTGAGCTATAATGTCAAAATTTATAACTTTTGATCCTTCCTAGATTTTGAAGCGTTTTGATGCTTAGTGTTTGGTGGGTGAGTCTGCCAAATGTTTTCATCTGGTTTTGGGTTTTGTACCTTTGGTAATGCGATATTTCATTACAGGGGAGTGAGGTAAGATACAATACAGATGTATCCGATTCTGTTCAATAGATAAACATGCTTCCACCGAAGTGCAACAGGGCTCTACCCGAAGCTGATGAATGTATAGGGAGTTTCCCATAAATCCCTTCGGCTTGCCAAGTCTTCAGCGCATCTCCCACAGTACTCTGGGGCTCCCCCGTCATGTGACGAGGGTGGATTCGCTTCCCCCGAGGGAAACAGATGCGCAGTTCGGGTGGCGGAGGCCACTACGCTTCACTTCCACCTCCTCAACTCCCGGGCTTGCGTAATCTCGCGTGAAGCGGACAGTATCTTCTCGCGAGAGCTAAATCGGGATCCCTCCAGGTCCGCCTCCGTGGTGAGGAGGTGGAGGAGAAGGAGGAGGAGGCGGAGGGAGGGAGGAGGAGGAGGCCCCGTCGCGGCCTTCGCCGCCGCCAACGGGGCTGTCCCTGTAGCTCCCGATGGAGTTTGAGGCCCTGAAACCGCCGCCGAGCTCTGCCCCGGCGAGACGAGGCGCCTCCGTCGCCGAGCCGCGCCGTCGCGGGGCTCCCGGGAGCGGCCCTTAGCGACCCCGCCCGGGCCCCTCAGGTAGGGCGGGGGCGGGCACGGTGCGGCGGGGGCCTGCCTGCTGCTCTCGCCGCCTCGGCCGGGGGCCTGTGCGCGGCGGCCGCTGGAGTCCCGAGGGCTGGGCCCCGGGGCCGCACCTGACACGGGCGGAACCCAGGCCTGCGGAGCCCTCGCTCGGGTAGGGCGTCCGCGGCGAAGCGAAGGGCTCCAATGGCCACCTCGCCTCGACACCGGCCGCGGGGACGCCGGGAGCCCGGGGGAGCGAGGCAGGCAGAGGCCGGCCTCCTTCCCCCGTGCCCGCTCCAGTGACTAGGTCCCCGAGATCTGGTCCTCCCCTGCGCCTCCTCTGCGAGCCTAGGACTCCCTGATATCCGAGCGCAGGGATGGTAGAGGCGTAGTGTGTGTAAATAGGGACCCTGGCCAAACAATGCCCTGGGAGGGCTTAACCTCCCGGGAGGGAGATGGCTGGACCCGAGTGGTTTACACGGGGGATGTGACTAGGAGCTATGGCATGAAACCCTGCCAGGAAATGCTGGTCTGGTTTTCTTTCCCTCTTTGGTTTTATGTTCCTTGGGGAAGCCTCTTGAGGAGACTTCCACCATCTTAGAAGAATGGTAGAAAGCATCTTTGTTTCTCCGAGAAACAGCTGTACTTTTCTCTGTCCTTAGCTTTCAAAAAGGGAGGTGATGAGGGTAGCTGTCATTTTCATCCTTGAAATCACCAGAGTTGAAGATACCGGCAGACACCGCCTTCACACCAAAATAGTTTCAAGTAATCGCTGACATAAAGTGGATCTAATCCAGTGCGTCTCAACCTGTTTATATTTGTCCAAACTCCATCTCCGTTCTCTTTCTAATTCTACTCTTTATACCTACGACCCTTCTTATTAAAATCTGCTCTCCCCCAACCCACTGTGATTAGAGTGACTTTGTATCCCAAATAAAGTACTTAACTTTGCTACCATTTTTTATTTGTCACACTTTAAAGTTCCAGTAAGAACTTTTGCTTAACCTGAAGCTAATGATGACACATTAAAGTGATATAATTTTGCCCATAGCCAAAGAAACAAATGTTCTAGTGGTGGGTATAGTATTTTTATGGTTACATATATGCAGACTTAGTTAAGGCTTTTTGAATCATTAAGAATAATATGTGAATTCTCATGTTTGCACCTTTCATCTTATTAAAAAGCTACATCACTGTTCTTTCTGACTTCATATCCCTCGCTTAAGTTTTTTAGTAACACATCTAGTTCTTGAAGAGAGAGAGGCCATCACATCCTATTAAAGGCTATTTTCCAATATTGCCATTTTTATTGCTTGGAGATTTGTGTTTTTCCTGATTTCAGAGTTTGGAAAATTAATAGACAAAATGTTAAACATATTTCCCAGCCACGTTTAAAAAAGGCAGGTGTTAGACTTCAAACAGGCTTTTATTCTTTGAGAATCTAATTGCAGTCCAGTTCATTAGTGGAGCTTTGAGTTACCCCTAATCTGTTATTGTTGCATTAGTCTGACATTCAAGAAATCCTTTGTTAATGTTTTCATTAATATTGTCTGCTTTTGTAATTTGCTGTCTTTCAGTTGGATAAAGAGTTTACACTCAGGATTTTATCTTCAAAACTAGAATTTATACATTGTGTGTGATGGCTAAGGATGCTAAGTAAACTTGTAACAAGATTGTAATAAGTACTTATCTTTGGCTGGCCTCAGTTAAAGTTTCACTTCCTAGTGATGGAAAAAGGAAGCATGTGGTAAAATAAAGCTAGCTGAAGATTAAAAATAAATTACAACCAGTCTCATGAATGTTGTAAGTTACATCTTTATGATCAAGAGTTTTCTAATTTCATGGAAGCCTAAGTATTTACCTCAAGATTCCTAATAAAAGTTAAGTTTTGAGTATTACTTTATACTCTCTTGTAGTCTAGAATTACCTTTACTACCTGACAGCCATATTTGGCAGTTAAGGGCTTGAAATGGAGCTAGTGTAGACTGAGATGTATTCTATGTGTAAAATATACACCAGACTTCAAAGACAGTGCAAGCTTCTCTAATATTTACATTTTTATATTGATTACGTGTTGAAATGCTATTTTTACGTAAATTGGGTTGCATAAAATACACTACTAAAATTGATTTCACCTATATTCATTTTCCTTTTTTTTTTTTTGGTCTTTTTGAGACAGAGTCTCCCTGTAGCCCCAGCTGTCCTGGATTCACCATGGAGACCAGGCTAGCCTCAAACTTATGGAGAGATCTGTCTGCCTTTGCCTCCCAGTGCTGGGATTAAAGGTGTGCACACCACGCCCAGCCTTATTTTCCTTTTTTTAACTATAACTACCAGAATTTTTTTTTAATTGTATGTGTATGAGTGTATTGCCTGCATGTGTGTGTAAGTGCACCTGTGTCCTGCAATGCCCAAGGAGGTCAGAAGAAGGCATCGAATTCCCCTGGAAATGGAGTTACGGATGGTTAGCCACCATGTGGGTGCTGGGAATCGAACCTGGGTCCTCTGTAAGAGAAGTCAGTGCTCTTAACCACTGAGCCATCTCTCCAGCCCCCAGAATTTTTTTTTTAATCAAGAGTCTCACTCTAACATAGGCTGGCCTTGAACTTGTGGACAGTCCTCTCTCATCCTCTTAAGTACTTACAGGGGTGCACCATCATTCCCAGGGGAAATTTTTTAATTACTCTTTTCCCCCCTTTTATTTATACTGGAAATTGAACTCAGGACCTCACACATGCAAAACATGTACCATCATGAACTACACTCCCAGCACCTTTTGTTACATTTTTATTAGACATTGGTGTTCTAGAGCAGCACTATTCTTCCAAGAAAAAAATGGTTGAATAAAAGTAGACATAGGGGGCTGGAGAAATGGAGATACAGCTTGGTGGTAGAGTACTTCCCTAATAGTCACAACACCCTGGTTTGGATCCCAGTGACATGGTGGGGGGGGTGTAAAAAAACAAGCAAGAACCAAAGTTTTCCTGATAGTAGCCTCTTAGGGTCAGAGCACTAAAGGTCTTAGTGACTGTTTTAAGATTATCTAGTGACAGAAGTAATTAAGTACTGTCTCAGAATAGGTTTCAAATCTAGCCATCACTGAAGAAGTAAAATTTTCTTAGTTAAAATAGGAAGTTATTTCATTATTTCACTATTAGAATGCATTGAAATTTGTATCTCCTACTTATTTTAAAAGTTGAATTTGGGGCTAGAGAGATGGCTCAGTGGTTAAGAGCACTGACCTTTCTTGCAGAAGGTCCAGGTTCAAGTCCTAGCACCCACATAGTGGCTAACAACCATCCGTAACTCCAGAACTGGGGATCTGACACCCTCTTCTGTCCTCTGTGGGCCCTGCACGACACAGAGGTGCACTTACATACATGCAGGCAAAACACTCTTACACATAAATAAAAATAAATTTAAAAATACTAGAAGTTGAGTTCAACCCGGTACTTGACTTGAGTGGAACTTTAGTCTTATTATTTCATAGCTTAAAGCAAAATAACATATAATGGCACTTTTTGGGGGGATCTTTGAGACAGTGTCTTCCTGTAGCCCCAGCTGGCCTGGAACTTACTATGTAGACCAGGCTGGTCTCAAACTCACAGAGATCCGCCTGCCTCTGTCTCTCAAGTGCTAGGACTAAAGGCCATAATGGCACTTTTTAAAATTGTGATGGAGCTCCTTTTTCTCACTGGTTTTGATTACTTAACTGCTGAGCTATAGAGTTTATAGGTTCTTTCTATGAGCTTTTGTTTGCTTGCTTTTTAGGTTAAGACAGACATTGTACTTCTGATGCTTTTGATAGTTTTAAGTTCAAAGCTGTGTTTTGTTTTGTCTTGTTTTGTAGGACTGGGGATTTAACTTAAGGGCTTCACACACATTAGGGAAGTGTTCTACCTCTTAGCCACATCCCTAACCAAAGCTAATTATTTTGATGTTTTCTTCTTTGTTGAGAAGTACTGGTATAGTTCATTTCAGTAACTTACAGTCCTCAACTGAAAATAGTGATTATCTTAACAGAACTGATCCCTCTTGTTTATTTCTGTAAGCAGAATTATAAAATACTCTGTTACACAAATTAGTGAAAAGGGCATAAATTCTGTTCTCACATTTGTAATTAAGTGCCACAGTCCTGAACTGGCTGCGTAAATGGTGAACTGATAACAGAAAATGAAAGTGCTTAGCTCCTATGCAGTTTGCTCTTGATTTAAAAAAAAAAAAAAGTTTGGCCAGGCTTGGTGACGCATGCCTTTAGTCCCAGTATTTGGGAGGCAGAGGCAGGCAGATCTCAGTGAGTTCGAGACCAGCCTGGTCTACATAATGAGTTCCAGGCCAGCTGGGGCTACAGGGAGACCCTGTCTCAAAAAAAAAAAAAGTTTGTAATTTTCATCTTCTGAGATGTCTGTTACTCTTTGTTACAAGTTTGCTCTCATAGCAAGGCACTGGAGCTGCTTAAGGTTCCACCTCTGAGGAGCCTTTCTTCCTCTTGTGCTTTATCTTATGAGTTTTTCAATTTCAGAAACTAGTTGGTAGAATTAGTTAATACAAAATTGTGAGAATGTTTTCTCACTCTCTATAGGCATCTATACTTCTGGGCTTTTTAATTCATTTATCTCAATTTGAAATGTTTTAGGAATAAATTTAGTGATATTTTATTGATCACTATAAAATGTTAGCAGCAATCAAGATTGTCACTGAATCAAGCAAGTCATTATTAAAATACCTAAGTATAAGCCGAGACATTCTAAAAATTAATATACTTAGCTCTTCATGGTTCATTTATATTTTTCTTAAAATAAAAGGGCTAGAGGGATGGCTCAGCAGTTAAGAACATTGGTTGATCTTGCAGAAGACTGGGGTTTGAATCCTAGCACCCACATGGTGGCTAACAACTGTCCATAACTCCAGTTCCAGTTCCAGGGAATCCAACACCCTCTTCTGACCTCTGCGGGCATTGCACGACACGGGTGCACTTACATATATGTGGGCAATACATGCATATACATAAAATAAAAATAATAAATTTAAAAGATATATAATAAAAGCAGTAGGATATCTATCATTGTGGGTAGTGTAAAAAATAGTTTGGAGATGAATTTATAAAGTACCTTTTTAAAGGGAGTTGAAATTCCAGCCTCGTCATTTATTATTTTAATAAGCTATGCTAGTCTCTGTGTTTTAGATAAAATATTAATTCGTCTTATTTGAAGAATCTAGAAATTGATTTGATTAATGAAGGAAAACTTTTTTTTTTTTTGGTCTTTTGGAGACAGGGGCTCCCTGTAGCCCCAGCTGTCCTGGAACTCACTATGTAGACCAGGCTGGCCTTGAACTCACAGAGATCCACCTGCCTCTGCCTCCAGAGTGCTGGGATTAAAGGCGTGCGCCACCACACCTGGCTATAGTTACTGTAAAAGTTTTATGAAGGATTTTTTCTTTGCGGGCTGCAGAGATGGCTCAGCAGTTAAGAACACTGGCTGTTCTTGCAGAAGACCCGGGTTTGAATACCAGCACCCACATGGCAGCTAACAACTCTCCGTAACTCCAGTTCCAGGGGATCCAACAGCCTCTTCTGTCTTCCGTGGGCATTGCACGACACGGGTGCACTTACCTACACGCAGGCAATACACACATACACATAAAATAAAAATAATAAATATTTTTAAAGTTTTTCTTTGCATTTTAAAGGAGTTTGTTCAGTATCTACTAGGACCTAAACTTGTCAACATTAATTGTATTGAAAGCACTGCTGTTGTTATAAAACTGCTTTTTGGAGTATGATACTGATGTTTGAAACACCGAATTGTCTTTAAAACTAAGGAAAGAGTGTCAGCTCTTTGTTTGCTATTGCCCAGCAACCTATGATACCCTAACCCAACAGAAATAATATTTTCACACAAATACCCATTAGGAAAAACATCAAGTTTATAGCTAAGAGCTCCAATAGTAGATTTAAAATAAAATTTGTTTTGTATTTATAATTCTGACAGAACAGTAAATATGTTAAATAGTTTTAGGGAGGATTTTCTCACTTGCTTAGTGCTGATCTCTAAATTTAGAAGCAAACTACCTGGCTTTTAGATTGTTGGCTCTAATCCATGTCGTAATTTGAAGGTAAAGTATAAAAATAAGTTGTGACTTGAGAAATTTGAGTTTAAAAAGTAAAGATATTGATAAAATATGTAATTAACTGCATGTTAACAACTGGAGTTGTTTCATCAAGTTTTGTATATTGTATAGGGTGCTTTTTATATAGTAAAATCTATAACTTAGGCTTATCAAGTGATTTTCTTAGTACTTGTTCTTGTGGACATTAAAGCATAATAAGGGCTCCTAGAACTTTTCATTTGTTTTTTGGGACGCAGGAGACTTTCAGTTACATGCTTTTCTCTTCTGATGCTGACTACATTTCAAAACATTTTGTTTCTCTTTTTTTTTCAAATTTTGTTATTTTTATTTTATGTGTATGCATATATTGCCTGTATGTGTGTAAGTGCACCATGTCCTTCAGTGCCTGCGGAGGTTGGAACAGGGTGTTGGATTGCCTGGAACTGGAGTTAAGGATGGTAGTTAGCCACTGTGTGGGTGCTGGAAACTGAACCTGGGTCCTCTGCATGAGCAGCTAGTGCTCCCAACCACTGAGCCATCTCTTCAGTCCCCAAAACATCTAATTTCTTTATGTCCTATGTATTTGACTTGGCAAACATGAAATAAAATAGTGACTTTTTAATTACCTTAAATACCTAGATTTCTTGTTCAATACACAGGCTTTGTCAGAATTTTTTTGTCTTTTTGAGACAGGGTCTCCTTGTAACCCCAGCTGTCCTGGAGCTTACTATGTAGACCAAGCTGGCCTCGAACTCACAAAGATCCACCTGCCTCTGTCTCCCAAGTGCTGGGATGAAAGGTGTATGGCACCACACCCGGCAGGAATTAAGTTTTTAAGTAGAAAATGAGGACTTTTTTTGTTTTTGTTTTTTTTATCTTTTTGAGACAGGGTCTCCCTGTAGCCCCATCTGGTGCTCACTTTGTAGACCAGGCTGGCCTTGAGCTCAGAGAGATCCACCTCCTTCTGCCTCCCAAGTGCTAGGACTAAAGGCATGTGCCACCACGCCCAGCTAAGGAAGGTTTTTTTTTTTTAATTATTTACTTTTTTTTTTTTTTTTTTAATGTGTTTGGGGGTGTCACCTGCATGTAGGTATGTGCACCCGTGACCAGCCGGAGGACAGAAGAGGCTGTTGGATCCCCTGGAACTGGAGTTACGGACAGTTGTTAGCTGCCATGTGGGTGCTGGGATTTGAACCTAGGTCTTCTGCAAGAACATTCAGTGTTCTTAACCTCTGAGCCATCTATCTCTTCATCCCCAGGAAGATTTTTTTTAAGTTAAGAAGTATAACTTGGATTCTGAATCTTTAACCTTACTAAAAATTATGCAGCACATCCTTTGTTCATTTGTTTGTTTTACAAGGCTAGGAATTAAACCCAGGACTTTTTGCTAGGCAAGCACTACTAATGTCTGGAACAAAGATTTTTTTTTTTATTACTTTTATTTTATGTGTATGAGTATATTGCCTGCGTGTATGTGAGTGCACCCATATCGTGTTGTGCAATGCCACGGAGGTCAGAAGAGGGCTTTGGATTCCTCTGGAACTGGAGTTAAGGACGGTTCGTAGCTGCTATGTGGGTGCTGGGAATCGAACCCAAGTCTGCAAGAGCAGTCAGTGCTCTTAACTGCTGAGCCATCTATCCAGCCCCGGAACAAAGATTTTAATGTTAGGAATAAGAAAATTAAAGTTGAACATGGTGGCTTGCACCTGTAATATCAGTAATTAGGAAATTAAGACCAGAGGATTGCTACAGGATTGAGACCAGCCTGGGCTAACTAGTGAGTTTCAGGCTGGCTGGCATGAGCTCAGTGTGAAACCCTGTCAACAACAGCAACTAAATAAATAACAAAAAAAGATGATTCTTGCACATTTACTTTTCTATGCCTTTTCAGTTTAAAGTCATATACATACAACTTTTTCCAAACTATTATCGGTGTAAAGATAGAAATTTCATATTTTACTCTTTTCTTTTGCTTAGAATTAGTAGAAGAAAATAATGTTTTCTTTTTCTAGGCCAACTTTATTGTATTGTTGAGTTTGGGAGATTGTTAGATGCTTTTGTCAAAAGTATTATAGTGAACTATGACAAGTTTTAGACAATTTTTTAATATTTGTGTGTGGGGGTGAGTCACAAGTAGCATGGTGCACATGTGGAGGTCAGGACAGCCTGTTGGAATTGCTTCTCTTCTACTATGTGATTCCTGGTGCTCAAACTCAGGTTGTAAGGCTTGGCAGCAAACACTGTTACCTGCTGAGGCATCTCGTCGACCCTAGGTCAGTATTTCTCTGTTTTGCTTCAGTATCATACTTTTACTCAGCATTATTCTTTCATTTATAGACAAACATCTCTGTCATCACAGTCTCCTGTGTAGATTTTTAGTACCTCAGTTGGCCTCTGAGTCACATCCTAACTATACCAAAGATTTCCTCTTTTAGATGCCAAGACTGTCATTTTTATACTTAAGTCTAAAGTGTATCTGCTGGTTGTTGTGGTAGTGGTGGTACGAGGAATTGAACTCAGGGCCTTCAGCCTGCTAAGCAAATACTGAATCCATTGAGCTGTATCCCCAGCAGCTGCAATATTCTTTGGTCAGTGTTTCCAAAGCTTATTAGCTATTAATCCATATCAATATATTTTGAGGTAGTGGTTATCTAAGGGAAACACTTCAAACTTTAGCAAGCTAGATAATTTGTGTTCTTAAAAATAGACTGTGGAGGACCAGCAAGATACTACAGGTGCTTGCTGCCAAGTCTGACAATCTGAGTTTGATCCTCAGTTCTCACATGGTGGAGAGAGAGAACCAACTGGTGTGCCATGGCCCACATAGGTCCACATACATACTCATAAACTCAAAAGAGATGGCTCAGCAGTTAAGAGCACTGACTGCTCTTGCAGAAGACCCGGGTTTGATTCCCAGCACCCACATGGTGGCTACAAACCGTCCTTAACTCCAGTTCCAGAGGATTCTGAAGCTCTCTTCTCACTTCCAAGGCATTGTATGACACGGGTGCACTCACATACATGCAGGCAATACACTCATATACATAAAGTGAAAATAATAAATAAAAGTATTTAAAAATAAAATGTAATAAAAATAGAATGTAAAAAGATTTTTTTTGGTCATTAAATACATAAAAGTTGTGATTACTATTACATAGTAACCAACAGAGTTTAGTTGAAAGAAACACTATTAATAAATTGTTTCTGGAAAAACATGCATGATTTAATCCAACAAATAGATTTGTTAAAGACATCTAATCCTACATTCAGAAGTGTTTCTGATTCGGGAGTTACGGTGATTGATTCTAACAGTTAACGGATTAATATATAGTTAATTCTTACTTTCGTTCATTTGCAGCTTACAAAACACTACACAGCAAAATAATGATCTGCTAGACTGCTAACCTGAGCATCCAGCTTCCACAATGCCTGTGCAGGCAGCTCAATGGACAGAATTTCTGTCCTGTCCAATCTGCTATAATGAATTTGATGAGAATGTGCACAAACCCATCAGTTTAGGTTGTTCACACACAGTTTGCAAGACCTGCTTGAATAAACTTCACCGAAAAGCGTGTCCTTTTGACCAGACTGCCATTAACACAGACATTGATGTGCTCCCTGTCAACTTCGCACTTCTCCAGTTAGTTGGAGCCCAGGTAAGTGTTCACTAATTTAGTATGGTTATCAGACTTAGTTCATGGAGTTCCAGGAGTACAGAATATGTTTAATGATAGTTGACACCTAAAAAATAAGTATCAGTGTACCTGCTTTTCATGATATGTTCCTAAAAGAGATTTTTCTAAAATGATGCTACAAATTCTTTTTTAAAGATAGTATTTTTTATTTTATGTGTATGGTGTATTGCCTGCATGTGTGTAAGTGCACTTCTGTCATGCAGTGCCCACAGAGGTCAGAAGAGGGTGTCGGATCCCCTGGTACTGGAGTTACGGACGGTTGGTAGCTGCCTTGTAGGTGCTGGGAATTGAACCCAGGTCTTCAACAAGAGCAGCCAGTGCTCTTTGCTGAGCCCTCTCTCTAGTCCCATGATGCTCTAAATTTTTAAGGAAAACAATTAATGCCTAGCAGTTACATATTTGTGTTTCCACAACACTGAGGTCAGAATTTATATATATTAATTGCTTTGATGATGGAGAAACACTTTTTATACTTTTTATATAGTGTTTAATATAAACACTTTTTTTATATTTTAACCAATATGTAAGTAAGTGGTTATATAAAAAATATACTCAAAGGTTTGGTTGAAAACTAAAGCCCTAAATGTAGACTCATTGATAATTGTTGTTTTTAACTTTAGTTGGCCTAGGATAATATAATGATAGGATAATACAAATGAAAAAATAATTCTGCTAGACTATCAGTAACAAATTCTGCATAGTATCTTATGCACATGTGCTATTCAGTGAATAGTTCATGTTATGTAATTTCACTGACTCATAGTAAGACCCTAGATTTACAATAAAATTGATTTGATGAGGGTCTTCTGTTACATACATGAAAATAAACAGTGTTGTTTCTAATTCTTACCTTAGCTCTTTAGGCTCTTATTATGCCCACTTTACAGATGAGGAAGAGGATGAAATTCCATATATGAAACATTACATGTTAAAGCAGGAAGGTAGTCACTGGGCCTGGTGATGTAAGACTGGAAAGCAAGCACTCCAGGCTAAGGCAGGAGGATCTCAAGTTCAGTTCCAGCCTGGCCTACATAGGAAAATGCTCTCAAAAGCAAAGTGAAAGAAACAGCTACAAAAAAGCCCCTAAACTATAAATAAAACAAGAAGTTTACTGATTTATAAGAAAATTTTCTGACTTACTAAAAAATTCAGTAGTTCACTTATCTATTTCCTTGGTATCCTGATAGTTGAAGTTGTGCTTTTAAAGCTTAAAATCTCATTCCATTGTTTATAATCAAATTAGACAATCTAAAATAAAAATCTGTCCATAATTAGTAGTTTAATTGGCAGCATATTTTTCTTTTCTTTTTTTTTTTTTAAGGATTTTATTTTTTTCCTTAGATGTATGTCTTGAGTGTGGGTTTGTGCATGTGAGTGCAGTGCCTGTGGAGGCCAGCAGAAGCATCAGATCCCCTGTTGCTGGAGTTCCAGGTGGTTGTAAGCTGCTCAGCATGGGTGTTAGGAACCGAGCCTGGGTCCTCTGCAAAAGCAGTATGTGCTCTTAACTGCTGGGCCACCTCTCCCACCCCAGCCTATTTCTTTCTTTTTTTTTTTTTTTTTTCGGTCTTTTTGAGACAGGGTCTCCTTGTAGCCCCAGCTGTCCTGGAACTTACTGTGTAGACCAGGCTGGCCTTGAACTCATAGAGGTCCGCCTGCTTCTGCCTCTGCCTCCCGAGTGCTGGGATTAAAGGCGTGCACCACCATACCCAGCTTCCTATTTATTAATGTATCATAAAATAATGCTGTCTCCTGCAAACAATGGCATTTTAAGATGTAATATAATATATGGACTTTTGGCAGTAATATTAGCTACTATTTATATGCTACAGGTCAGGTAGTATTAATGTTCCTTCTGAATAAACATGTTGTCTTGATAATAGCCTACAGATGTGTGCATTGTGACAAATGTCTCTTCAGCATCATCTCTTCACTATCTTTGTTTTTATTATTTAGTTTTAAATATACTGTGTGTATTGATACTTAGGGCTTTTGAAACAGTATATTTACTTTTGCCTAGAATGATTCCTCTCTCTCTCCTTTCAAGTTTTTACAAAGGTTGCAATTCTTAAGGAAGTGTATCCTGACCACCGAAGTAAATAGCAACCTGTCTCCCTTTCCTTTCTTCTTTGTTTTTAATTTTCTTTCCCTCCCTCTCTCCCTCCCTTCTTTTCTGTTTATTTATTTGGTCTTTTTGAAACAGGTTCTCCCTGTAGCCCTGTAATTCCAGCTAGCCTGGAACTCGCTGTGTAGATCAGGCTAGTCTTAGTCTCACAGAGATCCACCTGCCTCTGCCTCCTGAGTGCTGGCATTAAAGGTGTGTGTCACCACATCTGGCTTAATTTTATCTTTATTGTGTGTGCGCGCGTGTGTGTGTGTGTGTGTGTGTGTGTGTGTCCCCAAAGATTTTTATTATTTTTATGTGTCTATGTGAGTTAAGGCCACATGGATGCAGGTTCTTGCAGAGGTTAGAAAAGGGCCATCAGTGTACCTTGGAGCTAGAGTTACAGACCATGCAACGTATGGTATTGGAAACCAAGCTGAGGTCCTCTGGGAGAGCAGCAAGTGTTCTTAACCACTGTGCCACCTCTCCAGCCCCTCTCCATTTCTTACTCCTCTTATATTTGCTGTATAGTTGGGTATTTTTTTTGGTCTTTTTGAGACAGGGTCTCCCAAGTAGCCCCAGCTGGCCTTGAACTTTCAGAGATCTGCCTGCCTCCCGAAGTGCTGGGATTAAAGGTGAAGTGCTGGAATTAAAGGCATGCACCACCACGCCTGGCTGCTGTGTGTGTTTTTTATTGATCACCTTCTGACCTAGTATGTTTATTTATTTATTGACTACCTCTTACCTCCATAGAATTTAAACTCCATGGGCCAAGACATTTTCTCTTTTGCTTACTGATTGATCCCTAGTGTAGGCACATGATATAAGCACTCTGTAAATATCAGTATATTTGTTAGATTCAAATTAACTTTCATAATAATATTGTGAAGCATGTATATTCATCTTCATTTTTGAAATGTAGGACTTGATATGGACCAATTAAATAATCTTCTCAAGATCACTCATAGAAGTAGCAGAACTTGGGGCTGGAGAGATTGCTCAGCGGTTAAGAAAACTGATTGTTCTTGCAGAAGACCCAGGTTCAAATCCCAGCACCTACATGGCAGCTAACAACTATTGGTAACTCCAGTCCCAGGGGATTAGACAGCCTCTTCTGACCTCTGCGGGCATTGCACGACACAAATGCACTTACATGCAGGCAATATGCACGTACACATAAAATAAAAAAAATAATAATAAAAAAAGCAAAACTCCAGATTTTACCCATATTTTTATCCTATCTATCTATTGTGGTGCTGGGGATTAAACCCAGGGCCTTCCATGTGCTAGTTGGGAGCTCATGTCACTGAGGTATATCAGTTATATTCTAGCAGGGGGTATAGATCATAAATTATAAATTTAATAGGTCACTGATGTAGCAAGGCATAAGTGCCATGGGGAGTAGAATCCCTAATTTTTAATTTTTGTTTTGAAATACTTTGTCTTATAAAGAAGCTTTAAAAAGGTAGTATCCAGAAGATCTCTAACTTTCAACAATGTCCCCTCATCTTCATTAGCATCTTTCATAATTATGTCACAGTTATCAACTCTTAAGAGGTTAATATTGATATAATATAATCAACTTTCTGCTTCATTTTAATTTTGCTTAAATGGCCTTGATATACTATCTCTATATTATAATTTTATACTCATCAAGATTGTTATCAAATACATAAAAAGTTGAATGAATGCATTTCTGCTATTTTTTTAATATTTATTTTTTAGGTACCAGATCATCAATCAATAAAGTTAAGTAATCTAGGTGAGAATAAACACTATGAGGTCGCAAAGAAATGCGTTGAGGATTTAGCACTCTACTTAAAACCACTAAGTGGAGGTAAAGGTAAGTTCATAAAAAGCCTTTTTTATGAGTAAGACTTGGTTAAATGTTAAATGTTGGCAAGTACAGTGGCTAGAGTCACTGCCTTTCTTGGAGCCCAGTCTATTGAGGGAATGGGTATTCATACAGTGTAATGAATTATTTTAAGTGCTTTAACAGAAGCAAAATTGCAGTTTGATAATCACTGCTTACCCAGTGAGTAGCAACTCATCACAAGTGTAATAGTTGTTGAATGACTCAATAAAATACTTAACTTGTGTCTGCTAATAGAGCATGGACTCAAGATGCTTGAGATACTTCAGTAACCAAACAAGAAAGCAACCTACCCTTCATACATCCTTATACATGTACTTATGTTTTAGTAAAAGAAAAAATTATAATTAACAATTAGTATGATAGGTAATATAAGTGATAACTGATGTAAAAAGAAAATATACAGTTAAAGGAGAAAAATGTCTCTAGAGGATAAGAGCAAATTTCAGGTTTTAGAAGTATCCAGTGTAGGCCTTGGAATTGAAATGAGTTAGAGTCAACCATGTAGGTTCTGGGGAAAAAGTGTTCTGTGTAGAGAGAAGAGCTATCCAGTGTGTTGTCCCCGTGGTAAGCCTGTTGGCAAGAAAGAGGAGAGAGTGCTTAGAGTAATGTAGGTGAAGAGGACAATATTGTGAGAAAAAAATGAGATGAAATGGTGATGCAAAGTGATAGATAGACTTATAGGGCATTTAGTGACTTGAACTTTTGCTCTCAGTAAAGTTGGAAATGGTTTTGAACAAGGCAGTGACATCATTTGACTAATGCTAAAAGGATCACTTTCCTCTCCCGAGAACGCTATAGAAAGAAGAGTAGGAGCAGGGTGAACAGTTAACAGGCACTTGAGACAAAGTTAGTGAAAGTGGAGTTTGGTACACAGTGGCAGTCTGGATATATTTTTCAAGGTAAGGAAGGCAAGAGTGTTTCCTGGGAGTATTTCCTGAGTTTGGAGTTTAAGAGGCAGAACAGAGGCAAGTATCACCCTTGAGTTGTTTTTTTTTCTGTCCTTGGAGTACCTGAAAAAGGCTTTGTTACTACTTAGAGAATAGTTGTGGTAGATCAGATTTTGATAAGAAGCTCAAGTTCTGTTTTGGTTACATATGTTTGAAGCGTCTATGATTTACTTAGATGTTAGTGAGTAGCCAGTATATACATGACTTTTGAGTTAAGCATGAGTTGTGTGATCTGTAATTTTGGAATTACTGTAATAGAAGTGTTATATAAAGCAGTGAGACGGAGAAGATCATCTAAGTAGTGAATTTAAGTAAGAGAATAGTCCTGAGTCCCTGTAAATTGGTAATCAGGGAAAAAAGAAAACTGGTATCAAAGGATATTAGAAGAATAGAATAAGGAAGGAATTAAACTAAGAGAATGGAATATTCTGGAAACCAAAATTAAGTGCTTTAAAAGAGTGAAATCATTTGTCTTAAATGTTACTGGAAAGTCAAATACAGTAAGGGTTGAGAATTAATTATGGACTTAGCACAGTACAGATAATTGTCTTGACAAGAGCAGTTTGGAGTAAGAGAATCAAAACTTTAAAGTGAACTAAGTTTTAGAGATTGTAAAACATGATGCTGGAAATAGTAAATAGAGAAGGTGTACAAGATACCTGTGAGCCCAGCATTCTAGGTCCCAGCCCCCAGGAGCTAAAGCAGGAAAGTAAGAGGTTTGAGGGTAGCCTGAACCATGTAGCATGTTTGAGGCACGACTAGCCTATGCATTGAGGCAGGAAGGACAGGAGATAGTAAAGGATTTGCTACACCAGATGTAAAGGAATGAGGCACTATAGAGGAAGAAGGATCAATTGAAAATCTGTTGACCTGTTTGTACGATGGCTGAAATGATGCCATACTTGTTCTTATATTTAAGTGGGAAATGATCAAACAGAAGGAGGAAACTTGATGACGGACGTAGGAGAGGGGAGAATTTCTGAGCAATTTCTGAGTAGGTTCAAAGGAATAGTATATAAAAGGTACAATTAGGCGGTGTTCTAAATTTCTTGTGTGTAATTTTTATTTAAAAGAGCCATTATTAATTGTTACCTTTTTAGGTTTTAATTTATATTCATTCATCTTTAAATTTACTTCTAGTTACTTTAGTAAAGATGGAGCGCACACTAAATCCATAGTACTGTCCTTGGACCCATCCAGCCTGTAGAACAAGATAAAAATTAAATCTGATGTAATGAAGAATTAGGCTTCTTATTACTACAGAATGATAACAAGCAGAGATCAAACACTCATTGCTAGAAAAACAGAAGTATCTTACAAGGGACTCATTCAAACTTGTTCTTTAATAAGTAAATACAGATGATGAAAATTATCTTTATTGAAAAACATTTGGTTTCCTTTGTCTCCTTTTTCTTAAAGGTGTAGCTAGTTTGAACCAGAGTGCACTGAGCCGACCAATGCAAAGGAAACTAGTGACCCTTGTAAACTGCCAACTGGTGGAGGAAGAAGGTCGTGTCAGAGCCATGCGAGCAGCCCGTTCACTTGGAGAAAGAACTGTAACAGAATTGATATTACAGCACCAGAACCCTCAGCAATTGTCTGCCAATCTATGGGCTGCTGTCAGGGCTCGAGGATGCCAATTTCTAGGGCCAGGTAAAATAGATCACCATCTTAGTGTTTTTATTGGTTAACAGGCCTTGAGGATGCCAATTTCTAGGCTAAGTAAAATCCCAAATCCCTTGGCATAATATAGTGTAGATCTTAATCTGTAAATAGTGCCTTGGGTATTTTAGACAGTTTCTTGCTTAATTCTCAGCCATCAGTGAGATAGGTGGTATATGTATAATTTACAAATTATAAAACTGATTTATGAAGAGGTCTAAGGTGGCACAAGTCAAGGAAAGGTAAACTTGGGGGGAGGGGGTATAAATAAACTTTTTTTTTTTTTTTTTTTGCTTTTTGAGACGGTCTCCCTATAGCTCCAACTTCCCTGAAATTCACTATGTAGACCAGGCTTGTCTTGCTATCACAGAGATCCTCCTGGTGTGCACACCTGGCTAACTTTTTTTTTCTGAAAAGTTGAAGTTTTAAAAATGAAAGGAAAGGCACTTCGGGGAATGAATAAGGCATAAGAGTGGAATTCTCAAAGGAGAGTGCTAGTTTATTAAAAAGACTTGGGTGGTGCCGGGCGTGGTAGCGCATGCCTGTAGTCCCAGCACTTGGGAGGCAGAGGCAGGTGGATCTCTGTGAGTTCGAGGCCAGCCTGGTCTACATAGTGAGTTCCAGGACAGCTGGGACTACAGGGAGACCCTGTCTCAAAAATACCAAAAAAAAAAAAACACACCAAAACCAAAAAGACTTGGGTGAGTAGGTGCACATAGGTACACATGCATGTAGAAACCAGGGGTCAACACTGGATTTCTTCCTCAGTCATACTATACCTTATTTTTTATTTTTCATGTGTATGAATGTTTTACCTGCATGTATGTATGTATACCCCCATGTGCCTAGCCACTCAGGAAACTGAATATCTTATGACACTTGGGAAACATAGGACTTTAAAAGTCAGCAAGGGATAATTTCTTTATAAGTGCTCTATATGCTCTGTTTAAAACATTCTGTATACAGTCTTATAAGGTACTTCTCTGTTCATCAAGATTTATTGTTACCTTTTTGATTTAGCACAGTGGATAGAATTTTGTTTATTTTTGTGGAGAAAACATTTTTTGTTTGGTTGGTTGAAGTATTTGAAATATGGTCTCTTCTGAAGAGCTCAGGTTGGCCTAGAACTCTTTATGTAATACAGGCTGGCTTTGAACTGTGTAGTCCTTCTGCCTCAGTTGAAATTACAAGCATGCACTACCACACTCAGGGAACTTTTTTTTTTTTTTTTTTTTTTTGGCTTTTTGAGACAGGGTCTCCCTGTAGCCACAGCTGGCCTGGATTCACTATGGAGACCAGGCTGGCCTCGAACTCACAGAGATCCGCCTGCCTCTTCCTCCCAATTGTTGGGATTAAAGGTATGTGCCACCTGCCCAGCTGGGAACAGTTTTTAAAGATATTTTTTTATTATGATTTAAATGTATGTGTATATGTGTGTGAGTATATGCCACATGTGTTTGGGTGCCCACAGAACCCTGAAAAGGGTGTTGGATTCCCAGGAACTAGAGTTAGAGGCAGTCTGCCTGATATGATTGCTGGGAACCAACCCAGGTTCTGTGGAAGAGCAGCAAGTGTTCTTAACCAGTGAGCCATCTCTCCAGCTCCTAGGAAACATTTTGTTGTTGTTGTTGCCGCTACTGTGTGTTTGAGACAGGGTTTCCCTGTAGCCCCAGCTGGCCTGGAACTTACTATGTAAACTAGGCTGGCCTTGCTCTCACAGAGATCTACCTGCCTCCGCTTCCCAAGTGCTTGGATTAAAGACATGCACCCCACTTCCAGCTAAGGAAACATTTGTAATGAGTGGCATTGGGATAATTGGACTGACATGTAGACAAAAAGCTAGATGCTTTTTTAATATCTTACTAATACTTAAATTTCAAATACTTAGGATTTAACAAGCAAGTTAAGGGGCTGGAGAGATGGCTCAGCGGTTAAGAGCACTGATGGCAATTGTAGAGGACCTAGGTTCGATTCCCAGCACCCACATGTTGCCTAACAGCTATCTGTAACTCCAGTTCCAGGGGATCTGATGCCCTCTTCTGACTTCCACGGTCATTGCATGAAATGGGCGCACCTGCCTACATACAAGCAATACACCCGTACACATTAAATAAAAGAAAAACATAAATTTGAAAAAGAAAGAAAAGCTATAAAAAGCAAGCTAAACAAATAAAATAGCTTTTTTTTTTTTTTTTTGTAATAGTACTTGGGAAGATTTTTAGTCATGACTCAAAATTCAGAACTAAGAACGGGAAGAATGATACCCGACTATACAATTCTGTGTTTAATTTTGATCATTAAAAAATCATAAGTAAAAAAGATGATAAACTGGGGAAAATAGGTGCAAATTGTATTGGATAAAGAGGCTAATGTAACTAATTATAAGATGCTTCAAAAACATAACAGCATTAAGCCAGTTGGAAAAATGAACAAAATAGATAAATTGACAAAAGATGGAGTTCATTTTAAAAAAGAAATACTGGGGGAGGTACAGATAAGGGAGGGAATCAATACCATCAAACTATATTTTATGAAAATCAAAAAATTTGATGAAAAATTAATTTTTTTAAAAAAGGATAGAGCTGGGCATAATGGTGCACTCCTTTAATCCTAGCACTTGGGAGGCAGAAGCAGGTGGATCTTTGTGAGGGAGGCAGAAGCAGGTGGATCTTTGTGAGGGAGGCAGAAGCAGGTGGATCTTTGTGAGGGAGGCAGAAGCAGGTGGATCTTTGTGAG